GGAGAGATCAAGACAGAAGAATACAGTGATTCTTAGGCTTTATTTCCATTCCTTCTCCCTCCAATAAGCTTTGGCTCGTAGCCAACAGTACTGTGAAAGATCACATTAAGCATACCAGTAAGAGCCACAGCTGTATGTAGAAGCTGTAGCATGTGAGTTCATTGGGAACCACTATCCTGTAGACAAATGGACCTTTCTGATCCCAGGCTAGCGTAAACACCCATGTGCTGTCGTATTTAGCACTGATGTAATGCCATTTTACATATTGACTTTTCGAAGGTTTGTAACTCACGGGTCCTACATTGTTTGACTTAACAGTCATGCTGGTCTTCCGCGAACCAAGAACGTATCCATGTTCTATGTAGTGGGCTGGAGAAGTCTAGATTCAGCAAGTTCATCATTCGTCTTCATCGCGATCATTGAAGGGCCAGTTTTTTTCAATCTGCGCCCTAATATCTTCCGACTCAGCACTGGCAATTGCTTCGGCTTTGAGCCTTTCATTCAGCTCTTTAGAATTGTCGTATCTTTCCGTACTGACCCATCCATCAACAGTAACCCCTAAGTAACTTCGGGATCTTTCCATGTCTTCATCAGCTTCTCTCTGTTCTGCCTCAAGCTCTAAACACTTCTCAACTTCCTCCGAAGAGTAGTTCAGAGGACAGCTATAACATTTCACATCCCCCATGGACGCAATTTCTCGCCAACGCCAAGTTGCGCGGATCAGATCTGCTTTCAAGGATATGTTGTCTCCTTCCCAGGGACTCCCTGCGTGTTGGAAGAGCTTTTGTTTTAAGACAACCTGCTCATCAGTGCAGGCGTCGAAGTGCTCCTTGTTAAATTTAGCTGTCATTGCGAAGTAGTAATAGTGAAGCTGCCGTCGACGGAAAAGTTCCAGTGCAGCTTCTTGCTCTTTCTCGTTGAGCTGTGCAAAATTTTGAGGAAGCTGTGGGGTAACAAGATTTTCCGATTCCTCATCTCCATAGTTCTGAAAGTATCTCGGTGGTCCTGCTTGAAGGAGAAGGGGAAGTACAGAACAGTGCTGCCAGTCTATTAATCCGACAATTTCAAGGGAGTCTGAAACAAAGATATTATTTGGCTGGAGATCAGGATGGCGTATGGTTGGGCGGTTCAGATTGCTTCCAGCCTTCGGGGCCAAAAAGTCCGCAATTTGCAGGTAGTCTGAAAGGTTCTTGATGTGATCTGCCGGGTCTACTTTTTGGTTGTTGTAGATCTCCCTATATAGGGGTTCAAAAGGAAAACGAGGTCGTGCATACTTTTCGTCCATGCCAATTCTCGTTTCGCAACTGCCCGTAGAACATCTCTGGTGGATGAGACTTCACGCGCATTATTAGGTGCTAAGACAAAAAAAACAACCCACTAGGCGACTTACATGGACCCCTTTCTACTGATAACGACGCTCGCTCTTTATGCCACCACCTGTAGTGCGCATCTGGGCCAATGCAGAATTTCCCGAAAGGTCCATCTACTTTGATATCAATGTTCCTGGTTTCATCAGCAAGGTCATGCTTATAGTATATGCTTCCACTTGCTGGAAGTTGAACAGAGAAAAGTAATGCCTCCAATTTGACAACTTGGACGATCATTTTCAGTCGTTCTTTTTCAGACATCGTATACCAGATGTTGCCTAGTTCCTTGCCAACGACTTTTTCCATAATTATGTATTCGGCACCGACAGGGTTCTCATTTGTGGCAGAGTAATCAAACACACGCGGGACTGGAAGTCCATGTGATCTCACAAAATCCATTGTTGCGACTTCACTTGCTATCGTGTAATGAGTTGGTGTTGTAGATGGATAGGGGAGTCGCGCGATGACTTGGAATCCATCTCGCATGGAGATCTCAAAGGTGCGATTGAAACCACCTTCCGCGAGCTTTCTGATAGATAACACATCGGACTCTGAACGGTTAATGGATTTCGCAGCTATGCGTTTTAGCTGGGGCACATCGAAAACCAGTTCCCGTTCCGCAAGGCGAAGGGGCTCATTGTAGCTTCAGTTATTTCATTAGTGATGCCTTGTAGTTCGAGTAACTAAGACTCACATCCATCTGCCTGAGGTATACCGGAATAGATCGTGAGCGTCACCCATTTGCACGAGAGGCGCCACAGGCGAGGAATGAAACCGGGAAATAGATTCGGTCTTGCAGATTCGCGGCGTTGGACAGATTATGTGCTTTTGAGTGTATCGAAGTGGAAATCTTCTATCCATAGGCCCCGGTATTCTCTTCTCATTTTGGTCTGAACTATTCAATTGTTAGCAATATTATTTGGAGGAGTCTAGTGAGGGCATTAGACAATCAGACCCTTTGCAGGAAACAAACGGGAGGATAGGAACCTGGAGCCTTTAGAGAGAGGTCAAACTTGGCGATGGCAAAACATCAAACCTATCGCCCTTGGACGAAGAACCATGTTTAATGCTGAAAATGGCCCCTCGAAGTGGTGACGTGGCAAGCTAGGCAGCAACAGCACCCTGGAGATTCCAGGGTGATGTGAGTGGACAGATTCTGAATTCGGCAAGGTCAGGTTTGTGCAATCTAGCGTCTTGGCCAAGACTCCTGGAGAAAATTGAAGCTGAAACTCCCAGCAGACAGATCAGCCAATGTCAAGAACCTGTTCTCTCTATGAGTCATGACATCAATCTTCAAAAGAGCGCTGAAAGGGGCGTCGTTGAGAAAGCTATTGAAGGAAACACTTGGAAAAAATTTTCCAATCCAACTGCTAGTCGAGGTAATACGGTGTGGCCCAAGAGTCAGAACGACCAGGAAAGCATCGGCATTCGTTTCGATTATGACGGCGAAGTTTCCCATTCAGATGGTGTATACCATAAATTCCAGATTCAACCCAATGCTGGAAAGATTCCTTCTACTTTCAAGGATTGGCGAGATAACCATGGAGGGACTCATGCCGTTATGGCTTCGGCCTTTGTGAAGAAAGACGGCACAAAAGAAGACGTGCGGAGCGGATTGGAACGCGCTGCAGATGCCATTGTTGGTGGCTTGGATTCGGACGACTAAGAGAGTGGTAACATAAGAATAATTGATGTTTTCCTGTTTCATTCCCGATGCCAGGACTTGGCAGTAAAGGTCTCGTGACTCAACGTGACCCGCGGAGTGGGTCCAGGTTGCGATGCCTGTTTAATTTATTAGGCGGCATCGTTCGCTTTCACCTTGCCCTTATTTTATTATTGTCCTGTTGATTGCGCTCGGGCATATGGCAAGCTGCCAGATAGCCCCGTCAGCTTACTTGGGAGAGAAAAATGTTCTTCTTGGAGGCAAGTTCCACCAAAGATTCGACGGCAGTTTTTCTGTCGAAAATCGTGCACTCTTTTACTTTCCAAGAATATAGTTGGTCCCCTGCAAACATGCAAGACACTCCAGCAATGGTTGTGGGAGCCACTGGAGGAATTCACAACTGTCAGGCCTTGGGAAGTTATTATCGCACCATATACGCAGGGGCAAACCATTCTCCGAAAGGATGAGCTCCTGGTGAGACTAAAGGAAAGAGACAATCTGTCATGGCGTGAGATTGCAAAGCACTTCTCAGGCAGAACGAGGGAGTCTCTCCAGGTTCGCTACTGCACCACACTGAAGCACTAGATGCCAAAGTGTCGGGGAATGAAGCGGAAACCTAAAGCGTACTCTATGTCTGCTGAGGCCACTTCTTCCAGCGGGTTGCCACGTGATTTGGATCCTACGTTGCATACTGCGGACGGCAGGCAGGAGCTCCCAAACCTACTGACAGCATCGCCGTGCCGACAACGATACCGCCCGCCTCGATCCAGACGTGCAGTAGACCTCTATGGATATCCAGCAGGATAAATACATATCTTCAATCATGACTGGATGAGATGCATAAAATGGCGTGGAAATTTCTCTTATTGAAAGGAGAGAGATCAGAGGGCTCAAGAGCAAAAGGGCAATAAAAGGATCAATGTATAGAATACTTTTCAAGGTGTATGAATATCAAGCTGAATGTGAAGCAGAGGTTATCTGGCCGTTTGTTTCCGGAGAAGGGTAAGAATTACATGTTCAACTCGGATTTGATGGAAGAATGGTTTATGCATGAGGAATGCCTAGTATATGCCCTCTTCTCCTATTTCTCGGTTCATCGATCTCTTAACATGGAAGGAGAAGCACTATCCAATCCATCTTGACGGCGTGCAAAGACTTTGACGATAAGAACGAAAAGTTAATCAGTGACGAACACAGCTCCTATCATTCTCCCGCCCAAGCAGTGAAATGAACAGAAGGATAACTTTACCTTACATGGCGTCCATCGATACGAAGTCCAAGCTACAAAACTTAGTCCTAGTATCATGCAGTCAGAGGAACACAGGAGGCGTACTCACATCGAGGGCGTCGAACCCAGGAAATCACTTCTTTACGGGAAAGTGGACGCTCTTTCCCTCGCCTTTCGAGTTAAAGCAGACTCCAGTGAAATGGTCTCTTGAGTCGCTAGGGCCGGGGTGGTCGGGCTCTCTATTATCGCGATCAGTTTCAGAAAGTGAATGGCTCAAGGTCCACAACCTTGCACAGATCTCTCGTGTATCCTCCGGCGAATCTCCTGTGTAACCTTCCACGGCCTGGGCGAAGGAGTCCTTCATCGCATCAACAGCGATCTCAGGACGCATCCAGTGTGTAGTCCGTGTGGCTGCGGAAAGCGTGATTAGTTGACCATTCTTGACGATCGTTCCAATGGTTTTCTTCGCGATGATCATTGTAAGACATCGTGTGTAGACGAGTAATCACCGCTAAGAGGCAAAGTTGAACCCAAAATTGAATAGCAGAGTTGATTCCTATTAAGGCAGCGGCAAAAAAAAGCTGCTTTCGAATCTGAATGTATTAAGAAAAGAAACGTCCTTAGCTTTATAAGCTTTCATCCCCAGCAGAACCAATCTGCAAAACAACCTGGACTAACAACGAAAAGAACGCCACGGAACGTAGAAAGCCAGGAAGTAGTCTCGCTTGTCCAGCGTGGAACAGCCTCTTAAAAGGCCCAGACTAGCCAACTTGGAGGAAGAATGAAACACTCACCTCCTGTGCAGCTGTGCCAACTCACCTTAAGTGCGTCTTGACTCAATCAGAAGCCAGCGCAAGCGCTGATAGTGTGAAAATACTCAAGGAAGATGCAGTTTCTGCGCCTCCATGACTCATCTCATGTTGAAACAATGCAAGTCATATGACAGGCGCTACCCTGAACGTCTTGACTAGTGCAATAAATGCAGGAGGAGGTGATGTTTCAAGTCAGCATCAAACCTGTCCTCTTGAGTGGTTGCCTGGTCTCGCACTAAAGCACCGCATATAAAAAAGACTAGGAACTGTTTTTCGGAGTAACTGTCATTCCGAGGTCACACTCCTTTACTACGCAAACTGGAGTTAGGGACATTAGTGATATTGAGCTTTCTACTTGTGAGCAACTGCATGTGGTAACTGCCTCAAACCAACAACTGAATGATTCGTCTGCGTTAAACGTGCATATCCTTAGCACTCCTGTCCTATGTTTGACAAGCATGCCTCTTAGCAAATTAATTGGAGGTCTCTGGATATGATGCTGGCTATCAGTAGAACGCTTTCATACTAATTGACAGGTTCGCTGATCCATGTACATGAGGGCATGTCGTTTGAATTGCTTTTCAGAAGAATTAAACATAAAAGTACAGTCCGTTTCCATCATGTTGTCCCAGCTCTATCCCGTCCCATTTCTTCTTGATTCCCTAATCACTAGAATTCCTCTCTCATTGCTTCTTTAAATACCAGTTGGTCAATTCTCCCATTTAGTCAAACATATAATAGCAATGGCGTTCCGTCTGTCCAAAGCTGACCAGACACCATTTGATACTCCAGTTAGGGTGGTATTCTGGTGCTGTCTACCATAAGGAATAGCTAACCGTATGGCGTGGGTAGCCATAAGGGTTCGTTAACTGTATGGTAGACCACAATTTTCAGAAATACTGCAAACCCTGTGGTATAGTTTGTTCTATGATATGGGCAACCGTAGGGGGCGGCTGGCCACATAGTACACCACAATTTTCTTAAAAATACTGCAAACTATATGGTATAGTTCACCATGCGGGATAGTTAACCATATAGTAGGCCATAAGTATGGATAAAACATGGCAAACCATGTGATCCTGTCCACCATAAGGGATAGCTAACCATCTGGCGTAGGTAACCATAAGGGTTCGTTGACTGTACTGGTACGACCTACGATTTTTTAGTAAAAACGTAGCAAACCATGTGGTATTACTTTGCCCTATGGTGTGGGCAACCATAGGAGGCTGCTGACCATACAGTAGACCATAATTTAATAAAAATATAGCAAACCATATGGTAAAACTCACCATATATGATAGTTAACCACATGGTATGCCATATCATGGTAGAAAAGTGCTCAATCCTATGGTGTGGGTAACCATAAGTAGTTGGTAACCGTATGGTAGACCACAGTTTTAATAGCATGGGCATGATTGTGATAGAGCAGTCAGCAAAACGTGGTACCTTAGGGTGAGGCATTCCCTAAGGTTTGGATTCCCCTCTGGTTGACGTCATTAAGAAATCGCCTAAGGCTGAAGAGAGTCCCTTAAAGTACCCTACTCTGTATAAAGACCACTCAAGCAAGAGCCCAAGCGCCCTCTGTTGGCAGGTCTCTCATTGGCTCTTTTCAAGTCACCTTTGCAAAATGCCCGTTGGGACCCGCAGCGATCCTTAACAAGTAAAACACTGCCAGGGTGTGCTTGGGCCATTGCATTGTCGAAACCCTCTACTTCTAGCTCAGTACCTTGACTGGTCAGACCCCGGCACATAACAACTGCCACGTCACCTGCCTGTTTATAAATGCAGCACCAGGGTCAACCACAATTCCACAGCACGAGGAATGCCGAGGATACACTTCAGAACATAGCAGATTTTCCAGAAGGTGGAAACATTGCTGAAAGTTCAGAGGTGTCCCTCAATCAGCTGGCCGAAAGTCAGGCTGAGGCATACCAGGTTTCCGATCCTCTTTTCTTCCATATGTGGATGTATGCCCTTGCTGACCGCCCACTCATTGACGGGATAAAAGTCCTTGCAAAGAGATACTTTCATGAGACATTTCTGCATCGGCTGGACTATGGTTCTTTCTGCCGCGCAGTTGAAGAAGTATATTGTTCAACACCGCCTGATGAACGGGGACTGCGGGACTTGGTGGTCAACGTCACCCTGGATCACTTGACAACACTGAGAAACTCGAGAGCCCTATCTGACTATCTCTTGAAGCAGATACCTGACTTTGCACGTGATCTTTGCATCGCAATGATAAACAAAAGTGTTCCGCCGCCATCCCTCTGGTTTTTAACCCGTCAACCAAGCTTCAAGTTTTAGCATTGCATATTCTCACATCTTTTTCAGCAGTTTCTGGGCCTCATATAAATAGCCCTAGCCAAGTGAGTACTAGCGATCGAGTTTAGCTCATTACCTCATAATTGGTCCTCGATCTAATTGTGCACCCCACATACCTGACCTTCTTTTGACCAGGTGTTCCTTGAATTCAGGTCTTAAGCAATTCTTTGGTTAAACAGATCAAATGCAAGATAGCACGTCTCTGCAGATGGTTCTTCTATATCAATGCAGAATGTGGCACAGATGTTGTCCCACCTGATTAGTTTGTCATCGCAATAACCAATCCTAGTTCGAATCAAGTCCCCGGAGGCCTGGCAAAGTAGGAGGTGATCTCTCTCATCTCGCGCTTCATCGCCTTGTACATTCACAACCGCGTGTGAGGTCTTCTATATTCACCGCTGCACTAGCCCGTGTGGGCATGACCTCGACAACCTGACTGCCTCCACTTCCTCTTCTTCCTCCATTTCTTCTTTCTCTTCTCCCTTCAACCACGCTTCGCTGCAGAACTGGTAGGTCTCTTCCCTTCCCCAGCTATCTCTGACGCTTCTCTCAAGTCTCTCTGCTGATATGGATGCTCTATCGCCATCAACTGCCTGAGAATTGACTGCTCTTGACATCGCTCTTCATATCGTCCTCGCGTGTGCTACCCCTTGTGGGTTAACAGACAACCCATCTCCCACTCCTCTCTGAACTGGTAGGTCCCCTCCCTTCCCTGGCCATCCTCTGTGCTTCCACCTAGTCTGGTTACTGATCTGGGGTGATTTGTCGCTCCAGCCTTCTTCTCTCCTTCTCTCTCCACCTTACAGCAACCTCGTGGTAAGCGATCTTCTTCTCTCACCGTCTCTCACACAGTGGCCCTGTGCAAGACCCCAGCAGTCTTCCGCCTAACCTATGACGAACCCTCTCCTCTTATCCCCTTGGCAGGACCATGTCATTGCTGAATTTCTGAGGCTGGTAGGAGCATGTCTACACCCACTGGTTCCCGCGGTACTGTTGCTGCCGGCTCCTCCTCCTTCTTCGCGCGTCGCCGTGAGCAGCAGGCCGCTATTGACCAGCAGCGCGAGCAGCAGCTTAATGTGACCGCTGCTGAGGAATGCCGTCTGCGTCGGCTGATGCAGCAGCACCCACCCAGGACGCCGGACCATGGTGTGTTCGTGCTTCAAGCCGACGGGCGAGCCGGAGGTAGGCCAACTTTCCCACCCCTCCTTCCCTCTCCCCTCTTTATAAGGGCACTCTGCTGACCGGGGCCTTAGAG